AAATCGTCTTTTAATCACATATTTGATAAATCCCATCGGTAATACCATTTCTTTCTTTTCATCCCATGACAGGCAAACGCTAATATTACTCTTTTAATAATTCACCTGTATCCTGACAGCTTCTAAAATACTTTACGTATTTGGCAAATAAACATAAAATTCGTCTTAACATTATGCATAGCGTAATCGTTATAAACCAACATAAGACCATAGATAACACACATACACTAGTTAACTCAAGCACTCAACGAAAATATTTACAGGCGTCGGCCACTAGATGGCTTTTCTCATAACTCCTGTAGAGGGCAGTAATGTATTACCTATCCTATATTTTATTTTTAATGCAGAATTTTGTACATATTCAGAAACCACTAATTGATAAAATTTAATCAATTTATCTATATAATACTAATAACAAATAAAGACTTGTACGATTTATAAATTTTCTGTGTTTAGTTACACAATAATTAAATTTCTTAATTTTAACAACATGCAAGTTTAGGGGCATCCGCTACAAGATGTCACTAGTTTCCATTAAAAAAATATTTGTCTTAAAGTAGGTATCGCAGTTTCAGGGCCTTGCATAAGACCTCAACTTTTAATAAGAAAAAATTAAAAACGGATCACAAGCGACAAAAACAACTTAAGAAACTAACATTATTAAAGATATGATTCTGATTAACCATTTATATTAAATTCTGATATATAACCAAAAACATTAATCTCGAAAATTATGGTCCCCTCCTTGGTTGGAATATTCTACAAGGTCCGCGCTGGCTAAGTTTATCACTAATATTCTTATCGGTATTCACGTTGCTATGATTAAATATCTTGCCTCTCAAATGCCTCTTGTAACCTCTTCCCACAACTTAAGACTCGATCAACTCATTGATGCATAATAAAAGACAACAAATTCAACAAAAAGTTGAAATTTGCTCGTAAAAAAATGAATGTATTAAGTTGTAGTTGTTTGTTAAGTGAATTTTTTTATTAAGATATTTTTATAAGAAATTGTTTACTGGTGTTAGGACCTCGCTTGAGTCCGCACGGGTAGGTACCACCACCCCGACTATTTTTGCCTTGAAGCAGTAATGCGTTTCGGTTTGAAAGGTGGGGCAGCCGTTGTAACTATACTGAGACCTTAGAACTCATGTCTCAGGTTAGGCATTTACGTTGTAGATGTCTATGGGCTCCAGTAACCACTTAACATCAGTTGTGCTGTGAGCTCGTCCACCAATCTAAGCAATAAAAAAAAATTGTCAATATGTTGCTTTGAATACTGTATAAACTATTATATGTATGTATGTATATGTGTATATATGTATATATTTTTGTGTATGTATTTGTAATTTAATATTAATTTCATTGCACCTACCACTATTTCCTCTGCACTACCTTTGGTTGACTGGTAGAGAATGCCTTAGGTATTACGTCCGCCAATGTAAATTTTAGACGCAGTGCATTAAATACATTAATAAAATAACGCGAATACCACTAATGCCCGCCAAAATAATGTTATTAATCATCTAGATTACAATTTGTACATATCATAACGGCCAGATGTGAGACGAGGCGTAGAGTAAATACACTATAACGATTAATTGACAGCAAAACAAAAAAAACGTAACATCTGTATTAGTTTTGCTTTTATTTTTTTAAATGTTACTAGACGATGACCGAGCTTTGCTCGGTATTTTTTCTTTTTTTTTTATAAATTGTGTTTTTTAGAAATTATATTTAAATACGAATTACATATTGATAAAATGATGAAATATTCCAAGATCGTTTAGGCATTTTTAAGTGAACACGTGACTTAAAAAGACACAAGTAATATAAATAAACAATTCATTTTCTTGGTCTAATCTTAAACCAAACGCTCATTGGCTTCAGTTGGCTTAACAACGCCATCTGCACAAATAGCATTAGTGTTATTGTGTCTTTAAAGCAGTTAGTTGCTCTCAATTATGAAAAATAGTATTATTATTCGCCAATAGATGTCGGGAAGAGTCATAAAGTTGATTATCGATAAAGATAATTATTGAAAACACGAATAAAACAACATTTTCTGAAAATAAATCGTAGCTAGATCGATTTATCGCCCCCGAAATCCCCTGTATACTAAATTTTATAAAAATATATAAGATATAGATAAGATAAGTATAAGATAAGATAAGATAAGATATGATTTTGTAATTTACGTCACACAGTATAAATTTAAACTTGTTGATTAATTTTGAAAGATCTTCGAGTGAACTCCGAGACGGAGTTGGAGCTTATTGATGGTTCAGAAACTTTTTTTTAGGAAACCTTATGCTGATAGCCTTGAGAGGCTATTTCAGCTTCACCCTAACATGTAGTAATGAGCTCACGGGGTTCAACCTGGAGTGTTGCCAACACTGGCCCTAGCAAGAGCAGTGCTTCGCAGAATCTACCACCGGATCGGAAACGCGACCCACTGAGAAGATCCGGCGAGAAACTCAGTGGGCAACTTTTCTCTAGGACCTGAAGTTCAAAGGGTAAACTGCAGAGAATCTAAAAACGAAATAGCCCTGATATACGGACGTCTTTGTTATGTTTTGTAACCCGTTTTTATTTTATTTTGAATCAGTACTTATTACCTTTGATACATTAAATTAAGAGGAAATCATCAAGTTTAAGTTTACTGCTATTATCAAGACGCTGGTGGGTAAAGAACTATTAATAATTTGGGGTGGACTCGTCGCCTGTACAGTATCAATCTGACATGACATTAGATCCTAGAATTGTTTTTATTGCCTAAATAGGTGGACGGTCCCACGGCATATACTGTGTTAAGTAATTACCTGCCTATTTCTGCCGTGAAGCATTAATGCGTTTCGGTTTGAAGGGTTGGGCAGCCGTTGTATTGTAAAAACTGAACTAGTTTAGAAGTAGAATTAGAACTAATATCTCAAAGCAGGTGTCGGCTTTTACGTTGTAGATGTTTATGGGCTCCGGTGACCACTTAATATCAGGTGGGCCGTGAGCTCTATCACCGTCGTTTACCTGACTCTAAAATTACTGTTTCAGTCCGTATAAGTTACCGCGATTAAATATATGTTTTTTTTTTAAATATTCTTTCGTTTTCATGAACCGTAGACATATTTAAAATGGCTTAGAGTTTTGGCTTTTAAGCTCAGTTTGTTTGGACGGATCAAATCTTTTTGAGAAAACTGTAAAGTATTTAAAACATCGGAAACAATAAAAGCAGAATTAAGAAAGTAGTTTTTTTTACCGTAGTTTTTACAATATGCCTATGAATTTTGCTCAACAAGTTGCTATTTATGTGAAAACCTTTTTTTTGGGGCGAACATAGACAAAAATAGACAATTCCAAATTTATTTAGTTAATTATATAATTGATTATATCGAAATCGTAGAGCCAATATTGTTCGATTGTATCGAATGAGTTTCCTTATCAATGAGAATTGTATAACAATTGAAACCAAAGAGTATTTGTTATTGAGAAGTTCAAAGTCGCGACTGCTTTTGTTTTCATGATCAAACCGTACAATTAACGGGCAGCTGTTGAAATCGAAGAGCCGTATCCTTAATTAATGACGTACTGTTAATTTTATTGGCCATTATCATCATAAAGATTTCGGATTCGAGAATTTTATTTATACTAGTGATCCCGCAGTAGTCGAAATTCGACTATAATTAATTGAAATTGTAAGTTTCAACTAATGTTGAATGTAACAATAGGACCATAATAAGTTATGGTTCTATTGTTACAGATTTCGCCAAGACTACACTATAGACAAATACTCGTAATATTAGAGATAAATAATACTGACCTATTCTCAATTTGTCTACAGACTTTCAGCGATAACAAAAGTTTGACAATAAACAAAGAATATATTATTATGTGTGTGTGAAATACATGGTAGTGTGTGTAATATTTTCTTTATTGATTTCATGTATCTTTTATGCATTATTTTAAAAAAATATTAGCATTGTGCACTTCTTCTCTACATTCTCTATAAGTGTGGAAAATTTCATACACCTCCGTCCGCGCAATTTTCGTAAAAAGGGATACAAAGTTTTTGCTTCACGTATTAATATATAGATTTTTCTATGAGGTTTTTTTACAAAGAAATATATTTTTTTATTTGTTTTTGTCCGATCGTCGAACTTAGAAACGAGAGAAGTGATTATTTTTTCGTGCTCCGGTAAGAAGATCCCGTAAAATACTTTTTTTTTGCCCTACCTATTCGCTGGTGGCCTAAGATCTATTTCAGCTACGCGCAGACGAGTAGGTGAGCTCATGGACTCAACCTGAGAGAATTTGCTAACTCTAGCCCTAGCAAGAGCAGTGCTTCGCAGAATCTACCACCAGATCAGAATCGCGACCCACTGAGAAGATCCGGCGAGAAACTCAGTGAGCTGTGCCTAACTATAGGTTTGGCGCTGTAAGAACACTATTAGAGAAAGTTTTTATGAAATGAGGCTGATTTTAATGTAAATCATAACTAATTGTACAAAACTATTTGGAAGTCAGATTTTTCCTCCGAAGTCCTGAGCATCAGCAGCTCGGCTGCGCTCCTAAAATTAGTGATGTCCATGGGCAACTATGACCGCTCACTTTTAACCGGGCTGTGCGATCTCTGCCTTTGAAGGTAATAAAAAATAGCTATCGGAAAAACCATGAAACTCATACGTGTCCAATAACAAACTTGGGACCTTTTGGTAAAAAAACTATGCCCAGTCAACCAGTCCGTAAGTAGAATAGTGTATATTGACAATAATGCTCAATTGTAAAATAATTTTTGACTATAGTTCAACTTCTAACAAAAGACCGTGGACCGTACAAACTTTGCAATTGAATAATAAAGTAAACTCCTAAACTTCTGAACTAGAATATACTATACGCTAAGAGTGATTAATTAATTCAACATTTGCTCGGATTTCGTTCAAGGATTGTATTGTATTAATCAAATATTTAAATAAATAGAATAAAGAATAAAAAAAATAAAAACTCACCTTTTACTTCCTCGAGAACAGCTATCGATGCTTATCAGTTTGTATTGAAATGCCCACTATTCGACACTCAAACAAATTTAATCATATCGTTCGGTTTTTAAATTTATCATAACTAATAACAGTATCACACCAAAAATGTAATTAATCGAAATTAAACACAGATGTTCTTTTTTTTTTTTGTTCACGTACGTAGTTTTATTCGGCCAGTATTAACGTAACACAGCCGGAGTCGTGTTCGGAGCTAAGTCGGAGTAACACTGATGAAGCGACGCCTCGACGCTCGCTTGTCGCGATTTGAACTTCGAACGTGGAATCGCGCAAACGTCCTAGCGTTATGTGCGATTTTTGGCATTTAAGGTACGGTCACTCTATGACTCATACGTCATTCGAATTTAATATGGCGGTCCGTTAATTTAACGAACTATTAGACCTAGTCTAGCTAGACATCTTAACTACAAAATAAAATATCTAAAAAAAAACCGAATCATTTCTTTTTGTCTGTTTCATTTCAAACGTATACCAAAAAAAAAAAAAAAAATTGCGTTCGTAAATTAAAATTGAAAACTTGATGGTATTGCCTTAGTCAATTGCGCGGCTGTGCTCCTGGTATCGGTCATGTCCGAGAGCAATTCGGTCGAGATTTGACGCAATTTCGTGTACCTATTAAGGCAATAAAAGTCAAAGCCAAACGAATTTTACTCGTGAAAATTTAATAAAATAAAATCGAAATAACTACTGCCGATCTCATTAAAAAGACTTAGTCTTTGTAGACGCCAAAATTTCTCTCCCTAAAATCTTTGCTAAAATTTCGCACAAAGACCTTTGTCTATCTGTTTATGTAAATAAGTCATGAAGTTCATTTTGCGAAGTAAACGCACCTGCCTTTCCAGAGCACAGCTTGGGGATATAAGTGAGTTTATTTCTCGTTCATCTTGATTTTTGCTCAGCGTCGAAATTCCTTGAAGGTTCAATTATTATAATTTTATTGCGTTCGTCTTGTCGCCTACTAAGATTAAACGCGTGCTTCACGGAGCGGCTATAATCGATTTGAATATGATTTCTGTCCGAAACACTTTTTTGGGGAACATAGATACAAATCGCAATACCGTGACAATTCTTTTGTGACATAATTCAAACTTATTTTATTATTTTCATATTTAGTGTCACCGATGTTTTTGTTTTTGTTGACTTCGTAGGCAAGACAAGCATACCGCCATTTGCTTTTTGATGAGTGGTCGCCTTTGCTCATAGAAATCATCAATACCAAGGGCACAGCCGAGCCCCTGGCTATAATATTTCGAATACTTTTGATTTTTTTTCTTGATCACAGAAGATCACAATCTTTTATACAGGGTGTAAAAGATATGTGCCGTAGCCAAATATGTTTCTACATAGATTACAGTAAATGTTCGTTAAATAAGTTATTTTCGGTTGTAAATCTTTTTTGGTTTTATTTATGTTTTACAACAGACCATTGGAATAAGAATAAAATAACTATCGCACTATTTACATGAGTAATTTGAACTGTTATTGTTTTAAATAAATGTTATCTATAATAGTGAATTAGTGATTTCTGATAATAGCAATGCTGTTGTTGTAAATCACATCGCGTATGGATAAAAAAAGCGAGTATTAAAAACGCGCGTAGTCCAAGTACATTATTGTGTGTAATTGTTTTTACTGGTTGTAGGTCCTCTTGTGAGTCCGCGCGGGTAGGTACCACCGCCCTGCTTATTTCTACCGTGAAGCAGTAATGCGTTTCGGTTTGAAGGGTAGGACAACCGTTGTAACTATACTGAGATCTTAGAACTTATATTTCAAGATGGGTGGCGCATTTACGTTGTAGATGTCTATGGGCTCCAGTAACCACTTAACACCAGGTGGGCTGTGAGCTCGACCACCCATCTAAGCTAAGCAATAAAAAAAAAAAGATGGCGATTCTGATCTGGTGGTATATTTAGCTAAGCAGTGCTCTTGCTAGGTCTAGAGTTAGCAAGTTCTCATCTAGTAAGTTATTAATAATAACAAATTTAATATATAATTATTTTATTTAACAAATTAAAAAAATCTAAATATTCATTGGTTCGTGTTAATTTACAATAAGATGTAAAACGTGATTAGGTTAGAAGTTTGATGTTGCTAATAATATTTTCTCGAATGTATGCGAGTCTTGCATGTTTCTGCGAAAAACTATTTAGGTGTAATATGAAGGGTGTGTCAGCTGTTATCTATATATATAAAAATGAATTGCTGTTCGTTAGCCTCGCTAAAACTCGAGAACGGCTGGACCGATTTGGCTAATTAATTTTGGTCTTGAATTATTTGTTGAAGTCCAGAGAAAGTTTAAAATGTAGATAAATATGAAAATGCTCGGAATTAAATAAAAATAACAATTTTGTTTTTCCTTTGATGTGTCCCCCGTCGGTCTTTTATTTATCGATTGAGGCACTACGAAGTCTGCCGGGTCAGCTAGTTACGAATAATTAGGATTTCAAACCTATACAACCATATCGGAGTGGGCGGTGACTCACTCAGCGGTTCTCGTGGGCTTACCATTAATTTGCCAATTTGTCTGCTTCAATCTCGTAAATAAGAAACTGATTGTTTTGAGCTTGGGATTGAAACTTAATTGAACTTAATTGAAACTGCTTACTGTTTGAATAAATGGGAAGACGTTGAAATTTGCCTTACATTGAAGTCATCACTGGTAGAGCCCGTTTTTCCGCGAAACAGTCATGCCTTTAGATTTTAAAAACAGCTGCTGTTTATAGAAGAGAAACTTAAAGCTCACGTCTTAAGGTAGGCGGCGACCCAGTCAACACCAGGTGGTCCGTCAACCGCCTAAATGATAATAAAAAATAATAGTTTAAAAAAACTAAAAAAACGCTTTACATATAAAATTCAATTAAAACATAGAAAAAATTTTTTAATAAATTTAAATTGAAAATGGGGAAGAAAAAAAAAATTTTTATTGTAAAAAAAGCGTGGGATGCTTTTTAAGATATTATTGAAATAATAATTCTTCTACTCATATCTCTATCAGAAAAATATTTATAACTAATAACACCATGCACCCCACACTTTTTTTACAATAAAATATAATATAATTTTTATACACTATTTTCAATTTAAATTTTTTTTAAACTATTATTTATTATTCATTTTTTAGTTGAATTTCAATTACTTCAATTTTTTTTTTCAATTCTTTTTCTTTAATTTTTTTTAAATATTGAATTGTCATCGCACCTCGATAAATCTACAAAGTTTGAATGAAATCTGGCCGTTTAAAGTGGGTCAAAATCGCGTCTAAAGGAGTCAGTTACAAACATACATACAAGTGAAGCTAATATAAAGCGTGTAAAAATACGATTGATGTGTGCGTGTGATTGATAACCTAATAATAAACATGTCAATGCGACTCCAATGGCGACATACAAATTTTCGATTTCATTAAATTTATATCTGCTCAAACAATGAAGATACGAACTGAACAGATCAATGAACGATTCCCGTGATACCACGTTTTAATTCAATTAAATTGATTGAAATTTCATACCTGTTATGTGGTAATTTGTGGTAATTTTTTTTTTTTTTATTGCTTATATGGGTGGACGAGCTCATAACCCACCTGGTGTGAAGTGGTTACTGGAGCCCATAGACATCCACAACGTAAATGCGCCACCCACTTTGAGATATAAGTTCTAAGGTCTCAAGTATAGTTACAACGGCTGCCCCACCCTTCAAACCGAAACGCATTACTGCTTCACGGCAGAAATAGGCAGGGTGGTGGTACCCACCCGCGCGGACTCACAAGAGGTCCTACCACCAGTAAAAAACTACCTAACTTCGTTTAGAACATCGATCTCTGATGAGTTATTTATCGCCTTTTCTCGGTCAAGAAAACGAACGCATATCTATATCTATACTCTATACTAATATTATAAAGAGGAAAGATTTGTTTGTTTGTTTGTTTCGAATAGGCTCCGAAACTACTGGACCGATTTGAAAAATTCTCTTTCCATTAGAAGCTGACATTGTCCCTGATGAACATAGGCTACTTTTTTTAAAAAAAAATTTTTGTTTTTTTTGTTTCATGTGTGTTTTAATGTTTCCGAAGCGAAGCGAGGGCGGGTCGCTAGTACTAAATATAAGTTATGTTTTGTTGATCTCTGTTTTAACGTTCTTAATAATTTCTAATATGCGTACATATAATTATATTTTGGGATTTGTTTGTATTCGATGTGTTCATGCGTCAGCTGTGGTGGAACGCGAATACTTAAAATTCATCAAACTGTTGTATCCTTAATATTATTTACTAGCGGCCCGCTCCGGCTTCGCTCGGGTCTTTAACAAAAATGTCAACGATATTTGACGTTGTTTTATTTTTTTAAATAAAAGAACACTTATTACGGCATAACTATAATAGTTGGACATATGCTGTCGCGACACTCTTTGTAAATAATAATGGGTTCTACAAAGTCGTAGTACATTATTTTATTCTATCATAAATAGTTTTCGCAGGGCACGCGATGTAAAGAATATTTTATGTAATTTTTTTACACATTGGGTTACATTATTGAAGTTTTAGTAAGAATCCCTAATTTTTTTCTAAAAAGATTTAGCCTATGTCACTCGGGAATAGTGTAGCTTCCAAACAGTGAAAGAATTTCCCAAATTGGTTCAGTAGTTTCGGAGCCTATTTAATACAACCAAAAAATCAAATCTTTCCTCTTTATAATATTATTAGTATAGATTGTCAGCGAAGATAAGCCGTAAACAGGCGTACCTAATTGTGAGCCATCATCTTCGACTCTGGGCATCAGACAATGCCAGCCGCTACATCAGTGTATGAATGTAAACTTAATTAATTCCTTTCGTAACTACTCCTGAATATCAAAATTTACAATGTACTTTTTTTTACTTGTGGTAGGACCTCTTGTGAGTCCGCGCAGGTAGGTACCACGGCCCAGCCTATTTCTGCCGTGAAGCAGTAAGGGTAGGGCAGCCGTTGTAACTATACTGAGATTTTAGAACTTATATCTCAATGTCGGTGGCGCATTTACGTTGTAGATGTCTATGGGCTCTAGTAACCACTTAACACCAGGGGGGCTGCGAGTTCGTCCACCCAAATAAGCAATCGAAAAAAAATTTAAAGGGTCAAACTGAAATTAAGGCTTAAAATTAGTTTTATTTAATTAATTCTACCACCAGCGAAAACCGAAAAAAATC